CGGGGGAGGGCTGCGACCGGGAACCCGCTTCTGCCCCTCCCCGCAGCCGCGTTTTCTGCAGCATCTCAGGCGAGATTTCAAATCACCATCCCCGGGTCTCCAGGGCATTGAAGAAAGAGGCCACGGTCCGCAGAAAGGAGGGTGATATTCCACAAGCGGCTTTAGAAAAGGTACCGCAGAGAGAGACATGCGTGCCGAGTCGCTGTGCCAAGCCCGCCTCAGACAGCACTCGCAACTCCCTCACAGCGAGTCAGCGACAACAAAAAAAGCACACGCTCTTCGATTCCGGATCAATAAACCTACATCTAAGTTTACAGTACTGTTAGTACAGCATAAGCTTTAAATCACCTTTACTTAGCTACCCTGCTCTGAAGGCTGCTTCCTCCTCTCTCTGCTACTGTTGCCATGAATTCAGGTTAGCAGACTGAAATAGCCACCTGCCCAGGCTGTTGTTAATTGCGGAACAACTTTTGTGACCAGCGGTTCTACAAGCATCTGCCCTATTTCATCTCAGCACTTCTATTAGTTCTCATAGGAGTTCCTTCCAAACAGCACTTAGCCACCATTATCCTGAAGTTACCGTGAAGGAATGGAAGATGGTCTAAAATACAACTGAACATCCAACTGCTTAACCACCTAAGTAATCCACCAGCCACTTAAACTTCATTAGGTATCTTTACATTCAACCTAGAGTTTCCCTCAGTACTTAGAACTGCTCAAAAGCGCTTGGCTATGGGGATGGTACAGTACCTCAGTAGCATACAAAAGCTAAGCAAGACATGCCTGAATTTTGTCTAAACGCTCAGTGAAGCTGGATTTATTAAGCATAATCAGAGGTGAATGCAAAACAGCAAAGCCAAGTTTAGTGCAGAGAATGGAGTCAAAGGTAGTTTCATGCCAAAACAGAGCTGGGGAAGATGACAGTAATAGGATCCCTCCTTGGCATAATGACCAGTCAGCACACTTGCCTCAGAGGGAGAAGGCCTCTGCGGAACAGTCACGCATTTCTCCTACTCCAACAAACACCTTAGCCAGAAATTATTGAACTGCTTGAGGGAAGCTACACTCCATCTTTCCTGGAAAAGTATTCTTGGCAGCAATATAGCCCAGAATCACAGGTTAAAAAGCAAGAAGAGAGAGCGCATGATTCTATAGTCTAATGTTTAGACTGTGAAGCGGAGGAAGCTTGGGCTTATGGAATGCTTCCAGTGATTTCTGCTCTTTATCCACTACCATCCAGAGAGGCAGGCCACCAGCTCGAGCACAGAGCTCTGACTACGATGCTTACAGGAGAACTTTACTTATTTCTGTAGTGCAAAAAGGTAGTAGAAAAACCCTCTCCACTGAGATGCGTGGTAGTGAGACTATACTGCCACTAGAGGGACTGTGGCAGATTAGTGACAACCATTAGGACTACAGCAACATACAAGGAAAGTATTACTGAAAAATCTTGGTATTTGCCTAAAAACCATTCAACCATGCTCCTCTGTGAGCAAAAGAACAAAATAACCCAATTCCAAAAGGTTACCTGCAGCAATGTCTTCCCTCGCACTCTGTCCTGAATCAATTGACCCAAAGGAAGTATCTTCCAGCAGCGATCCTCTTTCACTACGGTACCCTTCTTCAGTTTCTCTATTATCCAAGAAGTTGGCCTCTTCGTGCTCGGGTGGAACACTAACAGCCCTCTCCTCCTTCTCGTCAACAGGCTGTTCTGGCCTCTTATCATCAAGCTGCTGAAACTCCTGATTGCTCTCATCAATGGCATTTGGGTTTCTGATGGAAACTCCGTCATATTCATCCTCTTTTGCACCATCTGTAACAGACAAGACACGAATTAAGCACTGAGCTGATGTGTACTTCTTACACACAGCTGTCTCCAGTGAAATACTGCATTTGACAAAGCTTTCTTGATGCTTTTTAAACACTTCAGCCTGCGTATTGCTTCCAGTGTATTCTCAATCAGCTTTCAGTAAGATCCAATTAAATGTTTATATGGAATTTATGCAAAGTATCAACCACTGACCAGACAGTGAAATGTTTTCATCATTCATGACTTTATCAGATATCGCATATGTAACCTGTCCTTATGTGAAAGAAGCCTTGCTAAGAGCGTATCTTACCATCTCGCACATCAATTGGAAAAAACAAGCAGTATTTCTACTGAGGCACTCTTTTTACGAACATGGGCAAAAATAATGATGATAGGGACACCTGAGATTTTAAGTGTATGGATTTAGTTCCTGAACTTTGCATTAACCACTGGACCTCTCAGAATTAGGTAGTTCAGAAAAAAGACTGCTCTACACCCTCTAGAAAATTCTTTACATTAGTGTGTGTGAATCCCTATTTCTTGAGAGCGGGAGGTATAGACATGACCTGAATGTCTCCTTCAAGCCATGTCCATGCATGGATCCCACTTTGTCACACAGAACCTGGCCTGTAAGAACAGACATGCTGAACTCAAAATTTTCTCTCAGCATTTGTCCCTGGGAGACCTATCACAATGCCAAAAACATGCATTACAAATAAGCAAAATCCCAGCAGATTCCACAGGGCCTCTTTCAATTCTGCTCCCTCACCCTCCTCTTAAAGCTTCTCTGGGTTACACAGAGTTGTCTAGGATAGGGTTTTACTTCTGTTTCATCTGTTTATTAAATGGTTTAGCATCCTACCTTGAATGTGCAGGTGATCATCTTCCTGTTCTGCAATAGATGCAAGTGGGACACTCTCACTAGCAGATGAATATTTACTCCTTAAAGAATATATTAATTCTTGAATATCGTCCATCAGTGCACTCTCCTCATCATACAAATCCATCTCTTTCACCACCTCCTCTTTATTTTCTGCCACTCTGGAATCCAGAACTTTTCCCACGACATCCATAATGCTCGATTCTGAAAACTCAAGTATCTGGTCCAAGGCTTTTTCTACATCTTCGTTATTATGGCTTGCCTTCTGAGCAAGCTCCATCTCTACCTTCATGTCATGAAACATGGCTTCTATCCTAACCACGTGTTCAAACCCGAGGTACTTTTGTAGACGTATTACACGCTTTTCATCAAGAAAATCTCTAATTATTGTGAGACGCTTCACAGACTCGCTGAAGTCTGTTACAGTGTCATTTGAGGCTGCTGAGCGGTCTGCAAGGCTGGGGAAACGTGCGGATTGCTGGTGGTCATTGCTTGTATGCTCCAAATTTTGCACCTCTTTTGAGTTTTTCTGTGAAACGCCCTCTGGGAGATGGTCTTTCCTTTGGTTAAAGTCATTGTCGTCTTCTGTGTCAGGAGATTGGAAATTATGTTCTTCCCCAGCTTCAGAAAACTCTTCGTCATCTTCCATGACATGTTCCATCTCATCCAATTCAGCATCTTCACTCACTGGCACAGCAACCTCTTTGTTCCCAGTCTCACTTGCATCTTGCATTCCGATCGTTTTTTTAGCCTCCTTAGGAAATGAGTTTGTCTCCTCTCCTGTTTCGTAAGTAGGATTTGCAGATCCCAAAACAGCGTCACTTAGCACTTCTAATTCAGAGTTGGTACTTCTAACATCTAGTGCATGACCCTGTACATTTGCAGCCCTTGCTTGCGACAGCTTTGCACTTGCAGCATTCTCATCTTCCAGCAGCTCTTCCTCTAATTGTTTCAGGTCAGGGTTGTCTTCAGCATCTGGCTCCTCAGACTGCAGTTCTGGTCTTGGTGTTCTGTCTTTAGCTAAATTTGTGCCAAGATTTCCATCTGAATCTGCATCCTCAGGATGGGCAGTTCCTTGCTGGGTAAGATTCTCTGTATTAGTATTCTGTGTAATGCTTTTCGATATTTCTTCAGGGGCACTTTCCTCAGTGCTTTCTTCAAATACTGTCATCTTGCCAAGATTTCTGGAAAGCTCTTCTTTCACATCTGCCTCTGAATACTCAGTCTCATTCTCCCATGGCCTAGGCTGCTCAACAGCTCCTCTATGGCTTATGTCTCCCTCCCCTGCAGGGGTTTCTTTCACGTTTCTTCTTTTTATTTCAGATTCTGTGTTAAGAGAGGTGGTTTTCTGACTTTCATGATTGGTCTCCCCTGTTTGTTTCAAACCTTCTTCATGTCTTAGAAGTTCTTTCTCCACAGCAGGCATTCCATGCTCCAGTTTCTCTTTCAAGAGGTCAGTATCTCCTAAGTCACCTTCAGATGCAGTTTTTACGTCTTCCACTGGTTTGGCTAGAACATCAACAGAAGGCTTGTCCTCAGCTCTTCCTTTCTCCTTTGTTTTCTCCCATAACCTTTTGTCCTTTAAATCCCTTTCCAAGAGCTCTTCCAAGGTGTCAGCCTCAAACTTTTTCTCATCTTCCTCTGTTTGAGCAAGAAGCGCTCTTTCTGGACTTCCGTTGATATCACCAACAGGTGATTTTAAAGCATCTTGCTTGCTTTTAACAAATGATTTGTACTCCAGATCATCCTCTGGGCTAGGCAAAACATGAGAATCAGGCACAGCTGTACTCTTCAGCTCTTCAGTACGTGACTCTGATATGCTCACATCAACTGTGAGCTGCTCTTCAAACTCTTCAGTTTTGTTTGTTTTTTCTTTTGAACCCAGATCACCTGTACCTATAGGTTCCTTTCTAAGGAGTTCTTTGGAGAGAACCTCAGGCTGAGTTGTTGCTGGTGCTTCTCTTTTACTGATGAGCATCACCTCATCCTGTTTCTCTTTTGCTTGTTTAGATTCGGACCTGTCCACACTTGCACTTTGACCCGACTTCTTGCTCTTACTGAAGGCATCCTTAAGAACGAATGCATCTGAATCTGGTTCTTCCTCATTGTCTCTTTGGTTGTTTAGCTCTGTAGCACCATTTGCATCTTCACCAGGTTCGTAATTTTGTGACTCAAGGTCATCAGTTTCCTCATCTAAATCCGCTGGGGACGTATTTTCTTCCTCTGACATAAAAGACAGCAAAGGGATTTCTTCAGACTGATCTGCAAAGTCTGGCTCCTCCTCTGCATCAGCAGCATTAATGCTCAAATCTTCATTAAAATCATCTTCCAGCGATGTAACAAGGCGAGTCACTTCATCGTCTGATACAACAGCATCAGCAGTTGAGCCAAATTTTGTTTTCAAGTTCACAGAGAGCTCTCTGTTTAAAAGTGTGTAGGCATTGACTTCTTCATTCTCTTTGTCAAGTTGGCTGGTTTCACCCTGAGGAATACTAGTGTTTTTGGTATTTTCACTTTCTAGCCCTTTTAGTTTCCCATGTAGCATCCCTTTCAAGTGCTCATGTGCAATTTGATCTCCCTGAGAGTTTTCTTCGTGACTATTGACACTGGAGTCTCCTCCAGTATTTTCAGTTCCTTCTGTAAGAGAACTGCCTACTTCCTCTGTCATGGCGAGGGCTTCTTTGTCTTCTCCTGTGCTTAGCTCAAGATTGTCCATCTCCAAATCATCAAGGGACTTCACTGTATCAACCTGTTCAATCTCCTCATCCCTTTCGGCTCCTCCAGCTGGTTTTGTCCCTGGATCACTTGATTCAGTTTCCCCTTCATTTGCTATTGTCTCTCGCAATGACGTCAAAAGCTCATCCACATTGTAATTATCAAAATCATCCCTTCCGCCATCAAAGCAAACAAAGTCTGTTTCCTGAAATGAAAAATATACAGCCACACATATTATTTCCTTTATTACAGCAATGAGACCAAATCCATTTGGTTGGTTAGAGAGAGATGCAGCAGCAAAGGAAATTATATTAAATGTGTAGAATCAACCCCTTGAGTCCTTAACTAAAACTCTCTTTGAAATCAGTGGAAGTTTTGCCCAAGGACTCTTAAAACCCTAAATAAAAAGCTTATGACTTAGCTCCGTCAAAGACCTCCTAGTAAGGAACAAATCAGAAGTCAGCAATGCCGTTGGCAGTATCATACTTTGCTCATCACATTTATCCTGAATTAAGAACAATTCTATTGCTGAATGCCAGTGAAGAGAAAACAAACATCGCTAAGCTTGTTTGTCACAATCTCTTTTAGCTGGTCTCTCCTCAAATGACCAAGTCCTCCAAGCAGGAGCTGACTGTCACACAGTTTCTGGAAAATAAATGAAACAGCACTGCAAGCCCCTGAACACAATTTTATAAGGGTCTGAAGCTGCGGAGACAAACAGGCCTTACTCTGGAGTTACTAGCTATTAGTGCATGAAAGCCATTTATGTGCGTGAGGGTTGAAGGACCAATTCTAGAATCAGAAGGCTAAGTGTATCAGGTTTTGTTTGTTCCTGATAGTACTTTAAACTTCGAAAGTTTGGGAAAAGAAACAATTCTGAATACACACCAAACCGCCTATGTGTGAGCCAGCTAGCAGCATTTCTAGAGCTCAATTTGAAGAGAATTTGTTAGAAGAAAACCAGAATGTTCAAGAAAGGAAAGCTCAATGCCCACATTTTGAGTTGATGCTTACACACCCATCCACATACAGAGCTGCACAAACATTCCACTCCCTGACACATATGTGCATCTCTGCACATACGTAGCTGCTTACTAATGAAAGGTAACTAAGAATCACTGATATTCC